TCCTCCCTATCTCCTGTGGAGTGTGCTCTCCCTGGGTGTCACCCCCGATAGTCCCGGGGGGGTGGTGCCTGCCCCATCAGAGCGGTCGCTGCCTCTCCCGCCCGGTGCACACAAGCCGCATGTGTCACAGCCTGGCTTTTACCGGGTCACCGACCCCTACAACCGGGGCCCCTCAGGCGTCAGAGTGGGCTCCAGGTGGTCCCGAAATCAGGCTAAATGGGGGTGAATCTCTTTTGCTGCCAGGCTGGTGCTCCTGTGAAACACGGTCCTCCATGGAGGCCCCGCCCCCTTAATTTAATTTTTTAAAGTAAAATATATGACATGATACAAATAATGGTATGAAAAGAAAGTCCTTCTTTTCCTGAAAAAAACAATATATAATTTGTATGGGAACCGTAAATGAGAGAGTGGAAAATTACAGCTAAACACAAACACCACAAAAGTGTTAAAACCGCTCTGGTCCTTAACGTACAACATGGCCAAAACAGGCCGGTCCTTAAGGGGTTAAAGGGGATAAAGGACAGATACAAATAATGGTATGAAAAGAAAGTGGGGCCCAATTGAATAGTTGTATGGGAACATTTGAGAGATGCAAAGTTACCGCAAACACCACTGGGTACAACTCTCCAATGCACTGGCCGGCCTACTGCCGGTCCTGTTAACTCTAACTTTGGGTTGTGAGTCTCCCTTGGAGGATTGCATAAAAAGTGTGGAATACTGAATAGTGTGTTGCTACTCATCATTGTATTGTTGGCTGTCCCTTACTCCTAATTGTTGAAGTATTTTATTCTCTTTCCCACGGTTCAATACACTGGTAAAAGAACCAAGCAAACCCCTACCTGTTATGTCATTCGTCTGTTGTTCGGTAAAAATATACTTTGAATCATCTGAAGTTGTACCATTTGTAAAACTAACAAAATACCAGGCCACCCCAGAGTGGAGCATGGCACTAAGTGACCTCCCCTATTGTTCTTCACATTACCTCAATTGACAATTATAGCTGAACGCACTGTGCATTCCCTGGGTGGCTGCCCTCGGTAGCACTCGGGGTCCCAGGCAGTCCATCACACTAGGCTTTTATTGCTCTACATAAAGACCATGATGGGAGAAGAAAGGAAAAAATATAACCCTAAACCAACAAACAGAATAATAAAACATCGAAACTACATAGGATATAAGAGGCTCAGGCTTTCTACAAGACCAAATAAGTAAAGATGATAGACAGAAACCTATATTAAGAATTAACATAGAGATAGGTGGGGATCCAGTCGGGAGAGATAGTAAGACCCGCAAGATGTATTGATGATGACATTGTACCAAGGCCTGAATTACATAAGCAATACTAAATGAATGCAGGGCTGGTACAAGTCTGAAATAAAAAAAAAGAATTGTTACAAACTATATGTACATAGATAATAGTAAAAAAACCCACTAATATGTGCTTTCAAGGGCACCCCTCTAGCATCATTTCTGGCAACCACAGTCTAAATGAATGAGGGAGCATGTTTTTAGACATTTTGGACACTTGTACAAACTTAAATCTTATCTATGGGATACAGACCCTCTTGGCACTAGAGAACCTGTTGGTACCCTCTTATACTCTAATTGCAAGTCTAGATGTTATATCCTTGTATAGTAAAATCCATCATGATAATGATCTAAAGGATGTGCTACTTTCTGTATAAGTCCAACCATTTTAGCACAATAGATATACTACTGATTCTAGAGTTATTTGAATTCATGTACCAATCAAGTTTACAAATACTTACACATGGCTACTTAAATATTAAAATAAATTAAACTATTACAAAACAGAATAAATGTATTACTAGACATTAAATATATTTCATAAGAAGGTATGCTGACTATTTAATTATGATTTTGACTAAAATTGTTACTTATAAACAAACATAACAATTACAGTGCCTATCTTGAAGCAAAATAGTAAAATTCATGTTTTTTCACATTTATTTTATCATAGTATTTTTTTAACATAACAGTTTGTTTGTATTACTGCACATAACTCTATGTGCCAGTGAAGATTAGAATTGCAATACCTTCTTGCTCTATTTGCTTGTTCTTTGTGGAGAAAAATACTATTAACTATAAATATTCTGTCAAGAATCTGCCCCAGGGTACCTATACAATATTATTACTCAGTAAGTGTTTCCAACAATTATATTGGAAATATGACTCCACTTTGGTTGCACTAGTAATGCAGCCAGTATGATTTTTATGCTGTGTGTAAGTCTGTTATAAAGTGCTCTATTATTTTTCCAGTTTACTTTGACCTGGATTGTTCTTTTTCCTCTGCCAGCAACAACAACTTGTCCTTTATATCTTTAGTTAGAGAGAATTCAGCACATTTAGTAATAGTTCTGTTTTCATGTGTCAAGATGACCATAACAGAAGTGTAAGATGTCTTGCCAAGCCAGTGCAAAACAATACTTTAAGCAGTTTTCCTGTGTATAGAAATACCTTGAGCAATAAATCCCATAGATATTGTGAACATCTTTGTCTTGTTAGTTTAACAAATTGGATGTCTGATCATTTTTATAGCTAAACCAAAACCAGTGAGCATGCAGATGACTCATGTCATCAACATATACCTATACTCATTGTCCTACACAACTTATTTGTCACATTCATATACATTTGTATGGCAACTTAAAAATACCTTAGAATAATTTGCTTTTTTTTTTTTAGTAATATACATTGGTACAATTTGGAAATTGCGTTTTTTGCATGGTCCAGTAACATCAATTTCAAAACAATGACTGATAGAGTTCTCTGCAAAATATATTTTATTATAGTAAGCCATTTTAATCGAGACATCTGCTAAGACAATAATACACATTCAACAACTTCTAATCTTATAGCAAAGACTACCAACTACTAAAGAGAAAGCCATACTTCAGCGATAATTGCAACAATTTGTTGGCCAGTTCAACCATAAAATAGCAAGGAATTTTCCTATTTGTGTATAATCTACCAGTTCTTTTTCAATACTATGAGCTCTTCAGGGGTCAGCTAACATCCTCACAGGCAATGTTCCTTTACTTCAATGTAAGCTATTCCATCTAATAAACATGATGGGAGATATGTCACTGGTCTCGCTAGCTTGCATGAGTAAATACTTTCTAGAGTGACTGATTCTTTTAAAATGGAATGCCTATTTAATAATAGATTTTGAGTTTCAGTAAAAACTAAGAATATATATACACTCATGCAATACATTTAATGTTTTGGAGGACATTTAAAAGTGTACATTTGACAGTTTAGCTAAAAAAGCAAAAGTTTAAATGTATGTTTAAATATTAATTTACTTAATCAAATTGTGCATACATGGGGTTAGGTAATATAGCTAGCTGATACCAGTATTATCATATATTTCACTTTTAATGCTTCACACCACTAGTGACTTGACCTTCTAAAACCATACCAGCACCCTTGAATTTCCTCTTAAAAGGACATTCCACCCCAATTCCATCCGTATAACAACTTAATCTCACTGAAGTTGTTATAGGACCTAGAATCCATGGGTGCCATGTTATCTTATGGTGCTAAACTGTTTTTTTTCTCAGGCTTAAACCTGAGTATTTTAATTAAAGTTGGAAAGCAGAAAGAAACTCCTAGGTAATTCTACCTAATTTTTCAACATTACATTAACAAGACAAATAAAGGTAAAAAAGTGTCATTAGAAAAGAAAGGAAAAGCAAGTCTAGGTCAGAGCAAAGTAAATTACATGTTTGAGTGAGTGAAAATCATGCATAGGAAACAAGATGAATAGTTCCACCAGGTAGGCTCAAAGGATGTTTTAACTAGATGCTAACAATTGTAAGCTTAGACAAATGATGGGGCACCTAACCTTAAAGAATGAGAAACTACAATTGTTGTCTGTTATTGAGCATTATCTCTTAGCTGTGTACAACAGGCTGGAGATGGGGGGTTGTCCATGAATCAGCTGATGCCACTACTTTGCAATGAAATGGAGGGGCCCTGCAGGCCATTATGATCAATATGTCAGTGCGCCAGTACCTTCCACTCACCAAGCCAAGGCTAGCATTCAAGCCTATGCCCGGAGTCCGCCGAATCAGCCTGCTCCTGTGGTAGGGTTAACGTCCCATGGTACTCCTGCTTCACAGGCAGATCCCAAAGGTTGTGGCCAGCTGATGAGTGTAACATCCATCTTGACTTTTGGCCTGGAATGTAAGCTTCATGCTGGAACATTGTTAAAGACCTCTGCTAACTAGGTTATGCTATACTGGTCCAGAGGGGGTGGGACAGGGTAACAGCCACAATGTCACTGTCACCGACAGCTCCAGATTGGCCAGGTCTCCTCTCCGTGGGGCACCACTGGTGGGTAGTCTGCAACACGCTACTGGGCCGCAGGCTATGAAGGGGAGTTCAGATCTTGTTGAAGAGTGTTCCCCAATTAACAGGCTTAGGTTAGTTTCTTTTGGAAGTACTTTTGAGAATACAATTCCTCCAGCAAATCGGGTTTCTGTATCTAGGTACCCATTATGCTACCTCAAGTGTGTTTCCCTTGGCTAGTTCACTATTGGAGAAGCATTGGTGGTTTCTAAGTATAAGGTCAGATAACATCAGATACTCTGGACTCCATAACAACTTAATTGAGATTGAACTACAACAAATTAAACAAACCAAAAGGTGTTAAAATAGGCCATATCCAAAAACCTAGAGTGGCGGCAAAACTGTTACAGAGACCAGTAACCCAGGGGGGACTGGGTCTCCCAGACTTGACAGCATACTACAGAGCAGCAGCACTAACAATTGTGTCACAACTAAAGGCAAACCCCTCATCACCCCAATGGCTGGAAATAAAGAACAGCTGGGCTCAGCCCCGCTCACTACAATCTCTTTTCTGGACCCCCAAAACACACAGAAAAGATATCACACATCCCTTGCTCACAACACAACACATTTTACAACACTGGGACACCACAAAAAACATGATGGTACAATATTTACCAGTGCCGATGTTGGCTCCCCTAACAGTGCTAGAACCCATGATACCGACCCTGAATATACAACCATGGCTACAGGGAGGAATTCAAGAGATAACGCAGTTATACAACAATGAGAGCATAAAACCCTTTGCAGACATACAACAGGAATTTAACCTACCGCACAGACTAATATTTGCGTACCTGCAAATTAAATCCTACCTAACCAAAAACAAACCCAGTAAGGAAAGCAGCACAATCATTGCACAAATGTCCAACTTTGAGCTAATATGCACGCATAGGAAACAACCCAAAAAATTAATTTCCATAAGCTACAAAACACTGCTCCATGGGTCAGTCCAGGGGAGGGATACACACATCCAATCATGGCACAAAGAACTAGGAAAAATCATACCAACGGACGAATGGTCCAAAGCCTATTCTTCACATAAAGGGGTCACCTCATGTGCTACACACATCGAGATGCAACTCAAATTAATATACCGCTGGTACCTAGTCCCGACCAGGATACAGCAGATCTGGCCACAGTCTCCAGACAGATGCTGGAGATGTGGCCAAACCCCAGGCACTATGCAGCACATCTGGTGGACGTGTAAAACCTTACAACCGTATTGGCAGGTGGTACGACACATTATAACTGGAGCCATACGAACACAAATATCACTAACCCTAGAGCTATGTATCCTATTTATCCCACCAGAGTCCTTAACTAAAGACAAGCAGGCAGTAACTTACCATATACTTATCTCAGCAGCCATGGGTATTGCCAGGCTTTGGAAAAACACAATAGCCCCCTCACGAGAAGCCCTCATCAACCAGATAAAGCTCAACCGGCCAAATGAAATGTCCTATGCACACCAATATGGTATAAAGAAAGACATGAGACTAGCAAACCAGTTGTGGAACGCTTACTTAGAACACACATTAATAAAGGACACGACACAAGAAGGGAAAACCTGTGAACCACATGGATCTCTCTCACCATGTTGTACCGCCCCCCTCCCTTCCCCCCTACCAACACTCCAACTACCCAAAATTAATGCAGAAAAAGGTACAGTGCAGGCAACCATGTACTATCCTGAATATGTGATGTGACATAGTATTATATGCTGTTAAAGGTTAAACATTCCTACGCATACTCCCCAACATGTCAAAACTCGAGAAGTCCACACAGATGCGGGAGAACAGAAGTACATCCAGGAACGTATGCATATGTTATTTCATAATAATCTGTTACGTGTAAAGTACAACATCTTGTAATCCGCAATATATGGAGCATGCATTGTCCAATAAAAATTGTCAAAAAAAAAAAGGCCACATCAGCGCACTCCATAATATATACACAATATAAATATTATATATATTTGGCAGTATACTGAAAGGTGCATTCTTGCGCCCCTTAGTTCATAAATGAAGTAAAAGAAAAAGTAAATAGTAGCAAGAAAGTAAAAATGTAGCAGTTAAAAAAAATCTATATTTTATATATATATATATATATATATATATGTGTATGTATGTATGTATGTATGTATGTGTATATATATATATATAGAAAGGCCATTAGGCCTGAATTTGTGGGAGGAGTAAGTCCCCTACTTAAACTCCCAGCCCCTACTCACCGCTGCCGCTCAGCTGATTGTCCAGCACTTCCGGTCCAGCTTCCCGCCAGAACTGTACCTGTTCCCAGCAGCCAGACGCCCTGTGCAATCCTCCGTCCGTCCGAGGTCCTTCCACTCCGTTTCTCTCCGGTCGAGGTACCCGACTTCCGGTACCGGCGCGTTCACGTAAGCAAGGCATCATATTTCCCCGCCGTTCGGGCCTAAAAACGTAGGGGTAGGCTCCCTCCTTTCGCATTTTCACGAATACACGCTTTTCGTGAAAATCTCCATTCGCGCCAAAAAACTCACGAACGTTCAGCTCATTTCGCTATCATTTAAAGCATTTTCGTACGGAAACTACCGAATATATATTTCATGTTTAAGCTCATTATTATCTGTATTCACTTTTCTGTTCGGTCATTTCAGCACCTAACTATTCGTATGGTAAAATTCACGAACACCATCTTACTAATTTACATGCGGTTATTTCTATTCTTTTAAGCTAAGCTTGCATTAGTTCTAATCACACTATCCTACTATTATTTATTACTTCTCATCAGTTTTGGTTACATTATCTGGTTAACTACCAGCCCTGGGTTTTCCTACCTGGTTAAACCATTTAAAGTTTTTTTTCTGTAATAAACATATTTTACCATGGTTCATAACTTCATACGTGTCTAAATACAAGCTATACCATTCTTTCCAAATAACACTCAGATAAGTCATTTGAACTCTATTTAAGTTATACCCATTACACATAATCCGTACTATTCCTTGCACATAAATCACTCTGTCACTTTTTGGCTTTTACAGATTGCATCGGTCTCTTGCTTTTCTGCATAAAGTTGTTATTTCAAGGTCCTTTTATTACAGGAACAGGTATGGTTTATTATCACCTTGAGTTTTCAGGTTTTATCTATTACCTTCACATCTATTGCTAAATATGGAATTTGTCTTGGTTAAACCCTTAGATCCTGTATTTATCTAAGCTTCCACTGTTTCTACGCAGTTAACCTGCCACGATCAAACAATCTCTGTACTTAAAACCAAGGTATAGTTCACTCTCTTTACAATACTAGACCTCACGCGGTCTCAACTCCATTACTACCTTCCCTCAGGCTTACGCCCAGGATACGTTATCTCTTTACTACTTGTCTACACAGACTTTCGGTCATACGGCCATCAGGCTCAGAAGACACCAATAAACCTGACCCGGTACTCAGCCATACCTTCAGGTACTTACGTCCTTACTCAAGTACGTCCATTCGCTATCCAAAGGCCTCATTCTGCCTTCTCACTCATATCCAAAATCATCCCATTCCTACACCTTTAACCTCCCAGATCCCTCAATGCAGGATCTCACGTGGTGCCCCTAACAAACCTTCTCCCAATACTTTTCATACGACATCACTATATGTATAAACACATCAACATCTGTCTTAAACCCCCAGGATTCTTCCTCAAAGACAACATTAAGACAAGACTCTCTACACTTATCAGGAGGCTCCAGATACCTTTCGCGACCAGTCAAGGTTAGTATCCGCACACCACTCCAGTCCTCTAACTTACCCTTAAGCATACAATCGAACTGGCTATACGGCACAGGCTAATGCCTTAGCCCACCCTATCAGGAAATCTGACCCCGCGAGGCCTACCACCCCCACCCCACCTCAACACGGAGGTACGGCCCCACGCCCAAATCATAGTTATAAGCCTCGCATGCCTTACTACAGGGCTCTAGTTAGGGCCTCACCTGTCACGGCCACACGTTTTGATTTCTCTTATCGTCACCGAGAGGCCAACATCCCGCCACCACGTCTGTGGCACCTACGTCATAAGCCAAATCATAGGTAGAGCCTCTCACCGCCACTTGGCATTAGCAGGGCCTCACCTATCCAGTCATTCATACTTAAGTTTTTCGCCTCGGCATCTAGTATTAAAGTCCAGTTCTTCCAGACATACCACGCCCCATACCCCCCCCCCTTCTTACCTCACTCCCCTTCTTATATATCTTTCACATAATCATTCCTTTTTAGAAATGTCCCAAGAACCAATTCCAACCGTAGAACCGATAGAAGAAACACCATTCACGCCAATCAGACCCGTGTCTCCAGGCGAATCACTTACGCTTTCAACCCCCACATCCTTGAGAGCATGGACTATTCCCAAAATCACGTCCGAACTTAGGCTCAGGGGAATCCCCTTTCCGGCCACAGCTAGAAAAGCAGAACTTTACAGGCTGCTTACCCAACATGTCCCCGAGCCTCGGCCGGGAACTAGCTCTCAAGGACAACCACCAAGAAACAGCACGGCAACCCAGGATACCCTGGCAGATATCTTGGCCAATCTACAGACCCTCAATAGCAGGCTGTCTAAGGTGGAGAGCGCCATCTCCTCCTCAGGTACTAACACCGTAGTCCCAGTCTCTACCACGGCTGTACCTGCCATACCTACATGTCCCTCTATACTCCCCCCTCCAGCACCTGGCACAGCCATCACACCTTTTGAGTCACCAGCACACTCCGTCCCAGATTCTATCAGGAAAGATATCCTAGACGGGAAGGATGTGTGTCTGGTGTCTTTACTCATAGCCTCTCAGGATGTACTCGAGAACAAGGCATACAATTATGGTGACATCTCAGTGGTGCTCAAAACGAGGGATCCCAGGCTTAATAAAAAATTGTCTATCCCACAGTTTGTGATAGCCTTTGGGATATACCGCGACGTCATTTGTACGGTGTATCCCCATAGGAGAGAAGAGCTAGATCTCTATCTCCACAAGGTAGTGGATCTAGGCATCAAGTACGGGGCTCTTCCTTCTATGACTACCACAAGTCAGTTTCAGCGAAGTCGGCGACCCACCTCAAGCAGTTCAACATTAGAATGAACTGGGGTCAGATGGACACGGAACTTTTCTGTCGCCACTTCGCTGGACTCAGGCCCCCGGCTTGTGCCATCTGTAATTCTACATCCCACATGGCGGACTTATGTCCCGTCGAACCAGATCCCACCACCTCCACTCCCACCCCTCACCCCACGTTCACACCTCACTCCTCTTTCACCCCTCACAACAAGCCAGCGGGTGGTCTCCGGGATAAGCTGGGTAGGCCCATCTCCTTTTTAGGTAAAGCACAGGTGTGCAATAATTTCAACGCAGGCTCCTGCAGTTTCAGCGCCTGTAGATTATTGCACATCTGCTCCATATGTTTCAGGGCACATACCAAGACCATGTGTCCAGCCAGGTTGTCACCAAACAAATGACTAACCGACATTAAATATCGACAACCTGGTTTTTTATCTAAGGTCTCACCCCAGCAGGCACTTAGTGGATTTTCTCACCACAGGTTTCTCACAAGGGTTTCACACAGGCATAGTAGCCATTCCCCCAGGTACACTAGAATGTCCTAATCTCCAGTCTGCACGTTTAGACCCAGTCGCTGTAGACACTCTCATTTCCGCAGAAACCACAAACGGTTTCATGATTGGTCCTTTCACCTCTTCACCGTTTTCCTCCTGGCGCACTAACCCTATTGGTATTGCTATTCACAAATATTCTAATAAAAAACGTCTCATTATCGATTTATCGGCACCGCACTCCTCTTTTGTTCCAAGCATAAACGCACTCATTCCAGCAGACGAATTCTCTCTGCAGTACGTCACCATCGACGACGCCATACAGTCCATCATGACATCTGGTAATCGACCCTGTCTCAGCAAAACAGACATCACTAATGCCTTTAAATTACTGCCCATACACCCCTCACTCTGGCACTTACACGGTGTTAAATGGCGAGGGTATTATTACTTCTCAACACGACTCACTTTTGGTTCTCGAAGTAGCCCCAAACTTTTCGACATTTTCGCGGAGTCGCTATGCTGGCTGCTTCTGAACGTCATCAGGTGTCACTCCGTTATTCACTATCTAGACAACTTTCTACTGATAGAGCCAGGGTCATCAACACCCACAGCAATCAATAGTACTACCGCACTTTTTTCCACACTGGGAGTCCCTTTGTCCCCAGCCAAAACTATAGGACCCACTACTAAGTTGACCTTTTTAGGCATAGAGCTCGATTCTGTCAAACTCAGAGCTAGCCTTCCACACGACAAACTTTCACGATTGAGAGGGGAGATAGACACGTTCCTGCGGAATGACGTTTGCACCAGGAGAGAACTTCAGTCCCTTCTTGGTTCTCTGAACTTCGCCATGCGCATCATTCCGCAGGGAAGGTCTTTCATTTCCAGACTTCTTTGCCTGCTCCACGGAGTCCCGGACTCCGGCACAGTTTCTTTGGACCCCCACGCCAAGGCTGACTTGGCTATGTGGGGGAAGTTTTTGAAAGACTGGAATGGTATCTCCATGTTTATCCCCCCTCTCTCCACCTCTTCACCCATCATCCACACAGACGCAGCAGCCAACACCGGTTTCGCAGCCATTTTCGGGAACCACTGGTTTAGGGGCCACTGGCCCACTGAGACGGATGCCTTGCCAGGATT